TAAATCGAAGCGATTAAAGATGCACGAGCAAACGAAACCGCGGAGTTCGATGCTCTGCGAGCCTTTCGACTTGGATATTCCGACAATTGAAATTCCGCGAGGACTACGTGGCTAATGTTGGCATGTTCTTCGAATTCGTGACAGTTCTACTTGCATAAATTGCGTATGTCAGTCTTCTGTCTCCTCTCCCTGTTAAACGTCTTCTCTTTAGAAAGATTGGAAACACGAGTGCAACATAAAAATCGTGTGAAAAGTAAAACACCTGTACTTAAATTAAGACGATTAAAGGTACACGCGATTGAATCGAAATTCCAGGTTATTTGAGAAGATGATTATTCAAATATCATTAATTCATGGTATTAAAAAACTTATCGAATTTATGACATTAAACATTAAATTGATTACTTAAATCATATCTCACACGAGTATTCTCTCGAAATAATACTACGTTAGTCATTTGTATTTTCTCTAAATTATTCGCTACTTGCCCATCAAATAAAATAATTTTCAATTACATTTCATTTAATACTTGTTCCTGATACAAATAGTTTCTCAAGTAGTTTCTCATTCCATTACATAAATTTTATTTTATATGAGATTATTTGCTATCTCATCTCGTTCGAATTAATTCAATAATTGTTAAACCCATTTGCAACTGATTTCCTTCATCTGATTATATTTTTCTTAATTCTTCTAGAAGTAATAAATTGGCGGAAATGATTAGTTACTTTAATTTTTTTACCTTTATCAAACCCACGATAAATATTGTCGAATCTCTAGTATCAACAATTTTGCGTGTCGAAATACGAATCTCTTGTCAATAGATGACATCAGCGTGAAGTACACTGATTTTAGTTCATGCATGCACAAATTACATACACATGCCTCGCATTAGGCAACATTATATTCTTCCGAAAAAATGGTTTTATAAGAACATCAAATATTACACAGCCGTGTCATTTGTCAATAGAGACAATTTCTGCCATTTAATTCCTCAAGTGGACCATTGAGGGTGTTATGACTGCTTCGAATTAATAATTATATTACATATTAATATAATTAACAATTATACTGTATATTGATCTTATTTGAAGATTTATGTAATTTTTCAATGTCTCCTTATATGTCTAATGACGCGAGGGAAATTTTATATCTATTTACTCTCCTGGCGTAAATTAAACTATATATAACTGAAAGTCCGCTTGATGTATGAAATCAAGTTCCTGAATGAAGAAAATATTTCTATGGTGTTTCTCTTTTTATTCGGACAGTATATACGTATGTTCATACTTTTATATTCGGAATGCCGTCTCGCTGATTTTCAAGAAAGAAACAACAGTGATAGAAGAAATGAAGGGGGAAAAAACTTACCGCAACTGCAGTAAATCCCATCTTCTTCAAGCAATCCCTTCTCCTTGGGAACGATAGCGGTAAATCTATCGGGAAATCCTAAACGAAAATTAACGACGCCCTCTCGTTCACGGGCATAGTTTCTTCTTCCGGTACCCTCTTTCGTTTCGACTCGTTACGTCTTCTCTTCGAACAGGCTATCGTATAACCGACGACGATAATTAGGATTTAGGATCGAGACCACGAGAAGGACCAAAAAAAAAAAAAAAAAAAAAAA